CCTGGAGTCACCAGGTCCTGGGAGAGGCCCTACCCACACCTTGATTTCAAACTTCAGACTTGCAGACTCCAGACTGGGAAAGGATCGACTCCTGTTGCTTCAGCCACTCAGTATGTGGTCTTTGTCATGGCAGCCCTGAGATGCCCAGATGCTCTCCTTTTGCGTGCCTCAGGTGAGGTGACCAGTTCACCTTGAACTGCTCCTCCCTCCATCTTCCGTGCACCACCCTCAGGCCATTTACCACACCCACGAGTCCCTTGTACATCTACTTATTAAATACGATTTCATTAAAATATAAAAAGAAAATAATTAAAATAAAATACCTAATATTTTAATATCAAATTCAGATCAATCCCCTTTTAAAACTCAGTCCTCAGCAAAACAGGCCGTGCAAGTACAAGGTTGTTACGGTAACTACTAACACTTTTAACACCTCCTAAAATCGATGCGTGACTGTTGGAATACGAAGTGCTTGCATCGCGCCTAAAATCACCTCGCACCCCACCCTGCATTCATTAGTGCCTTGCTTCGAGAACCTCAGAACAAGCAAATTAAAAGAGAAAAAAGGTACTTTTCTTTTGCTTTTTACCCCCAAAAGAAAGGTACCTGAAAAGCTGATATTTCTCCATCTGCTCTGGCTACAAAGCTCACATCTTTTCTCCACCCTCTTCTCTCTTTGATCCATACCTGCGTTTTTCGTGATCTTTGAAGAAAACATAAATTGTGGCCCCAGGAGTGAAACCTGTCTAAGCCTCGACTGTTCATCTGCAAAATGGAATAACCACACCCACCTAGGAGAATTGCTGGGGAAGGGAGTTAAGAGAAGGGCACAGAGTGTAGGATTCCATCTTTATGAAATATCCAGAATAGGCAAATCCACAGAAGCGGAAAACGGAGTCATTGTTGCCGAGATCTAAGAGGAGAGGGGAGCGGGAGTGACTGCTTATGGGCACAGGGTCCCCTTCTGAGGTGATGACAACGTTCTGGAATGAGATCATGGTGGTGGTTGCATGGTATTGTGAATGTACTAATGCTACCAAATGGTTCACTTTAAAATGGTGCCTTTTTTTTTTTTTTTTTTTTTGTCACCCAGGCTAGACTGCAATGACATGATCTTGGCCCACTGCAACCTCCGCCTCCTGGGTTCAAGCAATTCTTCTGCCTCAGCCTCCCAAATAGCTGGGATTACAGGCGTGCGCCACCATGCCCAGCTAATTTTTCTACTTTTAGTGGAAACAGGGTTTTACCATGTTGGCCAGGCTGGTCACAAACTCCTGACCTCAGGTGATCCGCCCACCTCGGCCTCCCAAAGTGCTGGGATTACAGGTGTGAGCCACTGTGCCTGGCCGACATGGTACCTTTGGTGTTAGGTGTATTTTACTGGGTGTATTGTTGTGTTTTATTTGGTTAAGAAGCATCTGTCTGCAGAGGAGTGACAATGGCCAAGTCCCTCCACTCCTCCGAACTGCAGTTTCCTCATCAGCAAAATGGGTTCATTGACCGAACCCATGTCAGAGGTGGTTGTGCCAATAACACCTGTCAATCCTTTGGGCTCTGCCAGGGTACTGACATGCTGCCGCTGGGAGGACTCAAGGTCATAATGCAGATGAAGCACCTGACCTTGGGCCTCCCACTCAGAAGACTCTGGGCACCACTTGATGATCTCAAGACAAACTTAGCCGAGTGCCCACACTTATGTGTGTACTCAGTGAGTGTCCTTTGCCCGGAAGGCCCCAGGCAGGTCCATACGGTATTTGTTCATGAGGCCTGTTTCTGGTGCTCTGATTCAGGACGACACATCGGCCTCAAGCAGGTCATATTTTAAGCTCCGGTAGCCTGGTCTGAGCAATTGGGAACTCTAGATTTAATTCTTCAGGTAATTTGAACGATGCTATCTAATTTCAAATGTCCTGCTCTTATGAATGCAAAAGCAGCATAATTTTTAATTAGTGGGTAAACAGTAAATAATGAATGACAGTAAGTGGACACCACTGTTAATTAAAAATCCATGGTTGATAAAAATCAATTTGGTCCATGCATTTAACTCCGTCTATCACTTCCCTGCAAAAAGTTGTGTAACTCAACCCACCGCACCATCTACTTTCAGCTGTTATTTCTTTAGTTAAGACTTTTTTGGAGGAAGAGAAAGAGGAAGTGGAGGGAAAGCAAAGAAAATCCAACATTCTACCCCAAGAGCTGTGTTGGAGAAAATGTCATGCAATCATTTATAATTGGTCAATTTTGCTTTTGCAACCTTGAAGTTGAGACTTCATGCATGACCCAGAGGTGACATGATGCTCCTCAAGAGGTGCCCGGCATTGCTTCGCATTTGTGTGTACATGTTCCGAATGCAGCCACATTTCGCTGTATCTCAGAGTCTCCCAACATAATTAAATCCCAATTCCTCACAGAAAAACAAGATAAATAAAATGTACTCGGCAGAAACACAGGCTCTGAGGATTCATGACAAAACACCACTTCAAGGGCCATCTAGTCTCAGTGACTTCAGGGAGGGTGCAGGGGGGGAAAAAAAGTCTTGTTTTCTTTTGAACAGAAAAACACTTCCTCAAGAGCCCAAGTTTTGTGGAAACAATGACAAGATAATTTGCAGGACCCCTTCACTATTTCACTCTGAAACATAAGCTGGATTTTCCTACCAGGCAAATATTGCTGACCCCTTTTGATCCTTTTCCTCGCTCTGTTTTCATCCATTCCCCCAAATCAACACTTTTGGACAGGTTTCATTGACACTGGAGATGTTCAAATTAACCCGCAGAATTGAATCCAGGGAACCCAATGTCTTCTGAAGACGCAGATTGCAGAAGCCCCCAAATGCACGAGGTGTTGACGCTGACGTGCACCCATCAGCTCAGGACTCCTGGCGAGTTGTATAGGGACCTGGCCCAACTTTGGTGCCTACCCACCCACTACAACGTCCTGCAACAAATTTCTGCAAATTAGACGTGCTACGTTAAGACAAAACAACCACAGCCTCTCTCTTTCAAGATCCTGCTGGCATTTCATTCACTTGGTAGAGCGGCCCTGAGTGCTGATGAGTCGGTGTGGTGACACCTTGGCCCTGGCTGGGTGGCTATTTGTTTTCATTTCTCCTATTTGGCTAATTAAAGCCAATAATCAGTTGCAGGATGAACCAAGATTACAACAGGGACCTTGGGCTACACCAGCATTTGTACTCATGCCTTCGTGTATTCAGTCGGCCAATGTTTGTTGACTGCCCTGAGTTTTACCCCGCCTCCAAGTCAGCCCCTTCTGTGTTCTCTGGGGATGTAAGACAAGCACCGGTGAGGCCGTCACAACCTGAAGTCCAACAACCTGGGCTCACATCCTGGCTTTGCCACATCCGGGTGGCACGTGTCCCGTGGAAGCTAAGCCCATCTCTGAGCTGAGCCTGTTTCTCTGCCCATGAGAGGAAGGTAACACTAACACCGACTCCAGGATTATTGCAAAAATCAGATGGGAATAATGTATAGAAGTGCAAGGGGTCCGCACCCAGTTAACAGGTGCTGTCATCCCCCTCGTCATCATCAGCGTCACTCCTGCCTTCTCAGCTGATCACTGGGGACCCCAAAAGTCTCCAGATGCAACCCTCAACCTCAAGGGAACTGAGGAATCCACTCTGCCTCATTTTCCTAAAATACCCCTAGGGCACAGAGAGTTTGGGGTCAAGCAGCTCTGAGGGGGCAGTGGGGAGCCCTCAGCTCTTCTGAACCCCTGTTGGGAAGGTCTGCCTGCGAGGCCAGGAAAGGGACAGAACATGCCATCTGCTCACTTCTCAACTCAGCCCCCAACCCCTCCCAAGGCCTCCTGAAGTTCCTGCCAGGCTCCCACATTCCCTGGCCTGGAGCCCTAAGACTCAGCCCCACGCTGGGTGGGAAGAGCCATGCTTGGAAGCTTCGCTGCAGGAACCGGGCCTCCAGGGCCAAGCCGGCGCCCCTGAGCACAGCCCGGGGCTGCAGTATTTGGACGCTGCTCACCGCCGAGCTTCCCACAGCATCCCGTCATCTGGGCCATCTCAAGCCCGTCAGCCCCGAGTGGAGATGACAGTTTCTGGGAGAGCTGCTGCTCTTTAGCAGCTGAAGGTCTTGGCACTCTCACCTCTGAGCAGCCCAAGAAGAGATCGTGAACAGCCCCACGCCCGGGCTTGACTTGTCTCCAGGCCCAGCCAAGCTCATCCAGGGGTCACTCCAGAGGATCTGGAGCTTGTGCTGCAGTGCCTGCTTCCCGTGTCCATCTTCCAGTCACCTTCTGCCCTGAGCCCAATTCCTCCCCTGGTGTCCAGGCTTAGGGAGCCCTGAAGAAGGGCAGGGCCTGCACTGTTTGTCCTCAGACCTTGGCCCAGGCCTCTGCAGCGGCCATGCATTCTTTCACTTGCCACATGTTCACTGAGCACCAAGTAGACAGCAGGCACCCAGCACCAGGTGAGACCTGAAGCCAGTGGCCTCAAGGGACCTGCTCTGTGCTGGGAGAGGCCAAGCAGCCCCCAGGGCTCCTTGGTGGAGGGGAGTGGTCTGCTCTGGGGATGGGCTAGGGCCCCACTGTCCCCAGCACCTTGGGTCCTGAGTCCCGAGTGCCCTTTGTCCAGGAGCGTGGGTCCTTCCGCCACCTGTGGGCAGCACCTGGTCACGGCTGGCAAGCCCGTGGAAGTTCTGGGCTTCTAGGAGTCTGCTCCACGCAGCAGAATTCTCAGAGGCCTCCCAGCCCCAGAATCTGGGACGGTCTCCATCCAGGAGGCTTGGATTCCAGGGTGATCACATCTGGGAACCCAGGAGGAGATGCGTCGGGGAGGCTGATTCTAGGATCCTCAATATGGGGAGCGCATCACTCTCTCCAGAACTGAGGCACCCTGGGGACAGGGCTGCGATGGAGGGTGCGGGACAGCCCTGCCTGGCTGTCTGTGGCCACAGTGGGGTTGGGAGGGCAGATGGGGTGGGTGTTCTTGGGGCATGCTGGGGTCTTACCCAGGTCTGTCTGCTTTGCAGCCCACACCGCACTGGCGGCTGGGGAGGCTGGGGGCAGCCGCCTGCGCTGGGAACCCCGCTGCCAGCCGCCCTTGCCAGATAGAGTGCCCAGCACTGCAATCCTGCCCCCACGCCTCAATGGACCTTGGATCTCCACGGGGTAAGACCACAGGTCATCCTGACCATGGGCCCATGGGCTCGGAGACTTCTACCTCTCTGAGACTCGGTGTCCAATCTTTGAAATAGGCATAATTCACATAGTTATCCAAGAGGCCTGCTATCTGCCAAGCTGCTGGCGATGCTTGCCTCCCCTCGCAGGCTGCAATGGGAGGCAGGGACTGTGTTGGGCATCACGTCCATGGACAAAATCCATTCAACACCTTGAGCACCTATTATACAAACCTATTACGAACTGAGTGCCCGGGGTCAGCAGTGGGACGTGCCCTTAACATTTGAACACATGAATGAATAGTATAAACTTGAGATTGCACTAAGCTCTTCAATGAAGGAAATAAAACCAAGGATGTGATAGCAAGTGACCTGGAGGGTTCTTTAGAGAGTGATCAGGGGAGGCTTCTTGGAGGTGGTGACATCAGCTGAGAGCTAAAAGGAGAGGAATCAGCCATCTAGAGGGCCAGGGAAGAGCCAGGCAGAGGGGGCAGCTGGTGAAAGGCCCTGGGGTAGGAAGTGGCAGGCCAGGGAGAGCCTGGGTGCACCCATCTAATTCTGTCTAACCTGACAGGCTCACTCGACATTTCAGAGGCTCAGTTGCTGCTTTGCGGCCAATGGACTTTGCATTCTGTCCTCATCTGTGGTGCACAAACCCTACAGCAGCCAGCTGAGTCCCCACTCCTGGGGCAGGGATTGGGGAAAAGCGTGGCCCCCTCCACACCTGGCACATTCCTCCTTCCCCCAACATCCCCTCCAGGCCAGTCCCATTCTGGGGTCAAGGACTGGCCTCTTGGTGTCCTTCCTGTACCTCCTGAGCTCAGGCAGAAACTCCCAACTGCCAAACATCTGCTAGTGCTTTGGGTGGAGGAAGGGATGTGAGTTCTTCAAGGCCGCTTCGAACACATTTGCAGGCTCAGCCAGGCTGCAAGCAGTCCCCACGCCCACGGCACAGTCCAGGGGGGATCCAGGCATCCACTCGCCAGGGTCACCCAGACAGAACTGGGGTGCAGGAAGAGGGGACACTGGTTGCAGGCCACTCCTGCCCCAAGACAGTAACATTTTGGAGCAGTTCTTCTAAGAAATTTCTTCTAGAACTTTCTTCCTTGAAAGTTCCCTGCCATGCTCTCCAGACGGACCTTGCTGCTTCCTGGGAGAAGAGTGGGAAAGGGCCCAGAGCCTGGGAACCATCGAGAGGTCCAGTGTGACCTACTGTGTCCTCTCAGGCAAATCTCCCCTCTCCAGGCCTTGTCTGAGACCCTCAGGGGTATGGTCACCCCTCCTATTTTTAAGTACCTATACTAGTATTTACTTATCATTTTCTGTAAACCAACTTGCTTTTATTTACTAAAATATATTCATTTATTTTTACAGCTTTATTGAGGTATAACTGGCATACATTGACAGTGTAATGTGATTATTTTTAAAGAAAATGTAATATTATCCTGGATATGGGGACCAGAGCCACTTGTCATAAATTAAAGGCAACTGTAAAATTAAATTCAACGAAAACAAAACAACATAAATCCTCTCTAGATCCGTTGCCGACCCGAGGCTCTGAGTTGCTCTCTCTGGGAGAACAGGGAGGTTGGCACTAAAGACACATTAGCTCTGAACAGAGAATTTCCCCTCAACATTATCAAAAAGATGGAAGAAAAGAAAAGGGAATTATTTCGTTGCTGGGTGATAACATGTTTCCTCTGCTCCAACAGCCCTGCTACAAAAAATATCAAGAAAATAGGCTAGGATCACGCCTGTAATCCCAGCACTTTGGGAGGCCGAGACGGGCAGATTGATTGAGGTCAGGAGTTCAAAACCAGCCTGGCCAACATGATGAAACCTCGTCTCTACTAAAAATACAAAAATTAGCCAGGCATGGTGGTACACGCCTGTAATTTCAGCTACTCAGGAGACTGAGGCAGGAGAATTGCTTGAACCCAGGAGGCAGAAGTTGCAGTGAGCCAAGATTGCAACCCAGCCAAGTGCCTGGGTGACAAAGTGAGATTCTGTCTCAAAAAAAAAAAAAGAAAGAAAGAAAATAGCAGTACAAGAGGGTACCTGGTTAGAGTAAAATCGTGAGGAGGGTGCCTGCTCTTTTTCCCCCCTGATTTCATCCACTGTCCAACCCCACCTGCACCCTCAGTGGGAAGTCCCAAAGGCCTCCTCTGCCCCATCCCGGAGCTGACCGTGGGTCTAGGAGTCATTCCTCTTTCTTCTCCCTCCAACCCCTTCCCCTGGATCTGTTTGCATCACCAGCAAATGGAGTCTGGGGCCAAGTTCAGCCCACTTTCCAATTTTGTAAATAAAGTTGTATTGGCATACAACCATGCCCATCCATGTACATGTCATCTATAGCTGCATTAGCTCTACAATGGCAACTTTGAGTAGTTGCGGCAGAAGCCACCCAGCCCACAAAAATAAAAATATTTATTACCCAGCCCTTTACAGAAAAAGTTTGCCGACTCCTGGTTTATATCTACAAGCCCTGTCACAGGCAAGGATGAGACTTGGTCAGGGCAGTGAGCCTAGAGAAGGGGGAGACAGGACGGGCCACCATCATACCTGATCACTACTCTCCCCTCCCTCCATTCACTCAGCAAGGACGGCGGAGGGCGCGGGGCCGGCTCTGGGCCAGGTGCCCAAAGTCCAGTGGGGGAGGAAGCAGGCAGGGCATCCCGGAGCTCCCAGGCCTGTGGGTCCCCAGATGGTTGCAAAAGGGCCTCCAGTAGGGCAATTCGGATTGAAGGAAAGGAGAATGAACTAGAAGGCTTGTGTTGAGGCCATGAGGCATCCAGTGCAAAGCCACAGTCCCAAGGGTGGCTGACTGAGAGCAGTGAGGGGAACTGAAGTTGGAGGGGCCCAGGCCTGAGCTGAGGCCTAAGAGGGGGATTGGGGGGAGAACGGAGCCCAGCCCAGAGGAGAGAGGGGCTCGCGGCGTGGTGTTCCCTCCGTACCCAGCCCATCTCCTTCCACCCCTGCAGCTGCGAGGTGCGCCCAGGACCGGAGTTCCTGACCCGCGCCTACACCTTCTACCCCAGCCGGCTCTTTCGAGCCCACCAGTTCTACTACGAGGACCCCTTCTGCGGAGAGCCTGCCCACTCGCTGCTCGTCAAGGGCAAAGTCCGCCTGCGCCGGGCCTCCTGGGTCACCCGGGGAGCCACCGAGGCCGACTACTACCTGCACAAAGTGGGCATCGTCTTTCACAGCCGCCGGGCCCTGCTCGACGTCTCCGGGCGCCTCAACCAGACCCGCGCCGGCCGGGACTGCGCGCGGTGGCTGCCCCCGGCCCGGGCCTGGATGCCCGGGGCGCTGTACGAGCTGCGGAGCGCCCGGGCCCAGGGGGACTGCCTGGAGGCGCTGGGCCTCAGCATGCACGAGCTCAGCCTGGTCCGCGTGCAGCGCCGACTGCAGCCGCAGCCCCGGGCGGCGCCCCGGTTGGTGGAGGAGCTGTACCTGGGGGACATCCACACCGACCCGGCCGAGAGGCGGCACTACCGGCCCACCGGCTACCAGCGCCCGCTGCAGAGCGCACTGGTGAGTGGGGAGGGGGGGTCTCGGGGGGCGAGCTCGGAGCCCAGCCCCGCAGCTTTGCAAGATCTGGGCCGGCCCAGGGCTCTGGCCGTCCGGCTGTCATCACTGCCCCTCCCCACTCTGGTCCACGTGCCTCAGGACATTTGCACACCCTGTTCACGCTGCTGGAGACATCTTTTTTCAGCCTTTACAAGGCTGGCGGGCCTCGGGTCGGCCTTCCCACGCTGGTCCTCCCCAGCCCCTGTCCTCGTGGGCACTGCAGGATCTCGTTTCTGCCCCTGCTGGGCACAGAGGCTTGGGCGGGAGTCCCCCTCCCTTGGTTCTCGGCTGAAATATCCGCTCCAGTTCCCATTCTACTGTTCCCCGTTTCCCGCGAGTGACCTTGCCAGCTCTCAGCCCGTTCTGAAGCTCCGTTGGTGACTTGTTTATTGCCTCTCCTTCTGGCGCTAGGTCCTTCACAAGGGTGGGGTCACAGCGGGCACCTAGCACGACGGGTCAGGCACATGATCAGGACCAATAAATGTGGATGGATGAATTAGGGGGAGGGCAGCTTTCCTCCAGGGTGCCGCTGGGGCCGCGCACACCAGCCCAGATGCCGGTCCCTTGAAATCTCAGTGCGAGCCTCACACCGACCTAGCCGCACAGCCACTGGGGCGCCACTCCCATCCACTCCCAAACCAGAGGGCGAAGACACGTGGCCTGGGCTTCTTGTGAGAAGGCCGAAAGGGATCCGTCAGGTCTGGGGGGAGCCCGGGGTTCTGCATTTCCAGCAAGCCGTCCGGGGTGTGGGGAGGCTGCAGTCTAAAGGAAACCGCCCTGTCTTTGACATGCTCCCCCTTGACTCCAGCACGAATTTCATTTAAGCTGATTAACCTAGATTTTAGATGAAGCCATGGCCCGCATACCATCCTAATTTGGGGAAGATCTAGTAGCACCCCACACACACACTTTTTTTTTTTTTTTTTTTTCCACGTGAGCAAACAGGCAGAAAGAAACATAATTTTACTGTATAATGGCTCCTGGCACATAGCTCAGAGCCTGGCTCCTACAAGGGTGTGGACCTAGGACCTTCCCAGTGTCAGAGAACCCTCTGGTGGCTGGTGAGGCCTAAGGACCCCTCTTCAGAAAATCTGTTTTTAAAAGCATAAGAGAAAATACATGGGATTTAAATGAAAACCGGTTCTATTAAAATAGTAACCCAAGTTTTAAAGTATTAATTTGTGATATAGAAAAACGATAAATGTGAAATCTTTATTTGCCCTCATTTCAAAGCAGGGATGACTGCAAACCATGTTTCCAGTACCTGCAACGCTGTTAGCGTCATACAAAGTCAGAGGTTCTGCTGACGCTACTGGGGTGCATTGCCTCCATTTACAATGAGAAGAAACGTTAACTTTTATTAGTGAAAGGTTAGTGAAAATGAAGTTGAGGTTAGCATTCCAGGTGAAAAACCTCTGTACAAGGCACCCAATGAGTATTTCCTGAGTGCACAGATGAGCAGATGGAGGGAGGAAGGATGAATGGGTGTGGATGGATGGATGGGTTCAGCATCCCCATGAAGTCCTCTTGGAGCTCTTAGGCCACCTTCACATCATTCATCATGTATTTGTTGCCTACTGTGTACTAGACATTCAAGGAACTAAACCAGATGAGGCAACTTCTCACCCCTGGCAGCAGCCACTTGTCACTGCCCCAATGTGGGAGCACTGTGGATGAGACAGAGCGTAAGCCTGCCTTCCTCCCCCTCCCCCTCCCCTTCTCCAAACCGAGGATCTCAGTAGCAGAGGAGGAACATGACACGAAGTTCTCATAATCAGAAAATCAGCCTCAGAGTTCTTTTTATGACCTCGAAATTATTCCCTTTTTGGCAACCAATGTTCTAGGCTGGTGTGGCGTTAATCCTACTTAGTTCAGAGAAGGCGCTAGTGGTGAGTTGATTACTGGCCACCACCACCTCATTAGGAGGGGAAACTGCTCTGAATGCAGAGAGGACAGATCCCCGGGGGCTGCGGAGGCTGACAATTTCATGCGTCCCCAGGCAGGACTCTGGGGCCATGGCTGTCCCTGCCCTCCCTGCTGCCTGGCTAACCCGGGTGGCCAATCCAGCCTGAAATGTGATTGAGAAGCAAAACACATAGAAATGAATGCAGAGATGAACAGTGCCAGATGTACAGACATTAAATTAAAGGTCTGCTCACCAGTGGCTCCTCTCCTTGGGAAAAAAAAAAGAAAAAAGAAAGAGAAAAGACAGATAATTTCAAAGAAGGAACTGCTGCAGAGAAGCCCCTAAGAAATGAATCAGTTGTTGCCTTATGTTCTCTGGGGCCCACGCCCTGCCCACGACCCAAACCAGATGGTAAACATGAACATTTTTAGAAGTTCATTTAAAACCAATTGGATCCCCAAATTCATTGCCTGCATATAGAATCCTAATCAATCAGCCAACACCGGACCAAAATTATCTGAGCCTGGTGTCACCTCTGGGGGTTAATTAGAAACTGTTATGTAGTGTTTGAGAAATAACTTTATGTAACAGGCTTAAATGAGTAAGAGTTTGGTTTCTGTACAAGTGTGAATTCTGCCTGCCGGGGGCCTTGTTTACTAACGCAGGAGACTTCAGACCTCTGCAGAAAGATGCCCGGAAGACTTCCCATGGAGCCGGGAACCTTGTCTCACCACCTTCAAAAGCACCAGAGAAGGAAATGCCTTTTCTCACCCCTCTTTCACCTTAAAAGTTTGCTGGTTCTCAATTTGCTTCTGCTCTGCAGAAAACTGCTTGCCCCAAATTACTAACCAGCATCCCCAAACGTCCTATCTGCAGAGAATATCTTTTGTTTGTTTGTCCTTTGTGGTGGGTAAGGAGAGCTCTGGGATTATTTTGCTGTAATGCATTACGTCCTCTCAATATACATTAGTGTGACATAGAGTCAACTCCCATCAGCCGGCATCCCCATCACCAACACTCCAGCTAACTATCAAGCTTGCTTGCTCCTGTCACAAACATTTTTGCAGCCATTTGCTAGCATTTCAGAGAACCATCAAGCTCTCTGGGCCAAAATCCCCATAACCAAAGCCAATATGGTCTCCAATGTTATATAAATCAAGGAAACTTAAGGTTCATTATAGAAATAAAAAATAACAGCTTATAAAATGACACCCCCCCAAAAAAAAAAAAAACCACTGTTATCAATCATCCAATATTTTCTTTCTAAGCCAGAACTTCTAAATGTTACTTGTCTGGCATGAAACTCACTCAGTACTGTATGGAACTCAGCAGTGCTATATGGAAATCTTGGGAGTTTTGCAAGAAAAAATATATTGGAGCTAATTTCCCAGCTGGGCCTTCAAAACGCCCCCTTCCTGTGCCTGTCCTGGCTGGACTGCAACTCTAAGTTTCCTTCTGGAATGGCAACAGCAGGAGATGTTTGCTTGTTCCCACATCAGCTTTGACAAGTTCCAAGGCCATTTACCTTCCAGAACGGTGCTCTGGCCTCAAGTCTGGGCAGCAGCTGCTTTTTTAGAAATAAAATAGGAGAAGGGGAAGGAGAGGGAGAAAGAAGGAAGAAGTCTGTATCGCATTCCTTTTTAGTGTCTGCTGAGCCTTTTCACTCCAAAACGCAGACTACTCCCACGCAATTTAGTTTAGCATCTGTTTCCTGTTAACGTGTTTTATGGTAAACACAGCTCACGAGAGTTTGTAAGGCAGGGACAACTGTAAATACAGGCAAAGATGGAGGAAAATCAACTCATAGCCTGGGACAAGTGAGGGTGTGGCGGCACCTGAAGACCTAAGTGTGGTCGGTTTTCCCTATAACAAATAACATGAGAATGAACATCTTTGAGCCACAGCTCTTCACGAGATTTCAATTGTCTCCTTCGCACAGACTTAAGCAATGGGCTTCCAAAGACATCATTTTTTATTTTTTATTTTTTTGTGAGATGGAGTCTTGCTCTGTCACTCAGGCTGGAGTGCAGTGGCACAATCTCAGCTCACTACAGCCTCTGCCTCCCAGATTCAAGCAATTCTACATCAGTCTCCCAAGTAGCTGGGATCACAGACGTGCACCACCACACCTGGCTAATTTTTGTATTTTTTGTAGAGACGGCTTTTCACCATGTTGGCCAGGATGGTCTTGATCTCCTGATCTCATGATCCATTGATCTATCTGCCTTGGCTTCCCAAAGTGCTGGGATGACAGGCGTGAGCCACTGCACCCGGCCTATCTTTTTTTTTTTAGATGTTGTCTTGCTCTGTCCCCCAGGCTGGAGTACAGTGGTGTAATCTTGGCTCACTGCAACTTCCACCTCCCGGGTTCAAGCTATTCTCCTGCCTCAGCCTCCCAAGTCCCTGGGATTACAGGCATGTGCTGCCACACCTGGCTAATTTTTGTATTTCTGGTAGAGATGGGTTTTCACCGTGTTGGCCAGGCTGGTCTTGAACTCCTGATCTCAAGTGATCTGCCCACCTCAGCCTCCCAAAGTGCTGGGATTATAGGTGTGAGCCACCATGCTCGGCTCAGACATGTTTTGATGGCTTTTGACCCTTGTTGCCATATTCACTTTCCATGGGGTAGGTAGAGCAAATGATGTGCACCTTCCACTGTGAGATTTCTAAAGACAAAAATCCTCTATTCTCTACCTGTAGGGAAGATGTAACCTGCTATGAGCACAGGAGAGTGGGAGCTCAGACAGCCGGGTGCAAGCCAGGCTGCATTTCAGCTGGTCTCTGCCACTTCCAGGCCGGACAACCTGGGCAGTCCAGCCGGTCCTCTGGGTCTCAGCTCCCTCCGCTATAACATGTACCAGTTGCCCGGGAAGTGCTTAGCATAGTTCCTGGCACTTCGGAAACACCTAGAAGAGTGAGCTAGAAAAAAGATCAACTTTCACGGTCAAATTCCAGGACCAAGCACACTGGGCTGGAGCAAGGGCAACTTCTGTCAGGTCCCAAGACGAAGGCCACCTGTGCTTCCGTTCATTTCTCATTTATTCATGCAACAAATGTGTGCTTGCTGCGAGCCAAGCCCTGTGCTGTGGGGATGGGGTAGCCGCAGAGGCAGTTCCCGCTTTCTAGGGCGTTTTAGGACTGTAAGGCATAATGCGTTCCAGTTTGATGAGGGGCGAGGGATAGAGAGAAGAGAGTCTCAGGGGGTGGAATGAGGAAGATAAAAGCGGGTGGTGTGCCAGCCCTGAGCCCCACCTTACATGGGGCATTCGGGAAAGCTCTCTCTGGTGCCCAGCAGAGACCTAGTAAGAAGGAACTGGCAGGGAGTTCAGACAGCAGGAGACCCAAGGCCCGAGGATACAGGGGCTGACCTCCATCAAGGAGGCCCTCCTGACTGAAGCAAAAAGGCCGTCCTGACTGAAGGCAGGGAGTGAGAGAGAGAGGAGGGAGGGACAGGCCGCACCTCACTCTGCCTTTTCACCCCTACAGAGCTGGGGTTCCTTTCCAGGCTGCACCCCAACTTCTCCCTGTGGGACAACCACCGTTTTTCTGTTTGTCTTTCGCCAGCACCACGTGCGGCCGTGCCCAGCCTGTGGCCTCATTGCCCGCTCTGATGTGCACCACCCGCCCGTGCTGCCGCCCCCTCTGGCCCTGCCCCTGCGCCTGGGCGGCTGGTGGGTCAGCTCGGGATGCGAGGTGCGCCCAGCGGTCCTGTTCCTCACCCGGCTCTTCACTTTCCACGGGCACAGCCGCTCCTGGGAAGGGTATTACCATCACTTCTCAGACCCAGCCTGCCAGCAGCCCACCTTCACCGTGTATGCCGCCGGCCGCTACACCAGGGGCACGCCGTCCACCAGGGTCCGCGGCGGCACCGAGCTGGTGTTCGAGGTTACACGGGCCCATGTAACCCCCATGGACCAGGTCACCACGGCCATGCTTAACTTCTCTGAGCCACGCAGCTGTGGGGGTGCGGGGGCCTGGTCCGTGGGCACTGAGCGGGATGTCACAGCCACCAATGGCTGCCTGCCGCTGGGCATCCGGCTCCCACACGTGGAATACGAGCTTTTCAAGATGGAGCAAGACCCCCTCGGGCAAAGCCTGCTCTTCATCGGACAAAGGCCCACTGATGGGTCAAGTCCCAATACCCCAGAGAAACGCCCCACCTCCTACCAAGCACCCCTGGTGCTCTGTCGGGGAGAAGCCCCCGACTTCTCCAGGCCCCCGCAGCACCGACCATTGCTGCAGAAGCACCCCAGCACAGGGGGTCTTCGCGTAGCCCCCCTCCCACTTCTGCCCCTAGTTCTAGGGCTGGCTTTCCTCTACTGGCTATGACATTGGACTTGACATCAGGATGGTGGCTCTGGACACCCATTCAACTCTTCAGACTCCCTCCTGGAAACTGTAGGGAAGGAACCATTCTCCTCTGCTCTGTCATGGATGGATGCACAGCCCCACTGCTTCCAAACTCTGCCTGCATTCCATGTGGCTCAGGGCATGAGCTTAACACCTGCAAAGCCTATACCACATCCCACAGCCCACGTCCCAGTCATGCACTTGGACGCGGCAGTGATGTTCATTGCTATGTGAGTTTCTAAAGATCACTCCCAATTTTTCTACTTTCCTTATCCTTGGCAGCCCGCCAACAGGTACAGTCAGGTGGCCACATGGAACCCCCCCATCCCACGCTGCTCCCCGTTCTTCCCATCCTGACCCTTGGGATTCCAAGATGGGAGCAAGAGGAGACCCTGAGGTTCTGCCTAGGGACAAGGCCTACTGCTCTGCCATGTCTGTAGGTTGTTGTTTAAAGATTATTAATTCGAATTTAGCAATACGATCTCTAAGTGGTGCCATGAATTAAAGATGCCACTTCGGGCTTTCAGTGCTTCTCAGCTTTCTGGCGAAGGGCCTTGTGTCTTCAGAGGCAGCTCAGCTTTCCTGAATCCTGACTGCTGGCATTCGTCTGCATCTGCCTGTGCTTCTGTGAGTCAGACCTCAAGCTGCCAATACTGCGTGTGGATAAATCCAGTTTTCCCGGGCCAGCATGCAAATGAAGAGGACTCCATCTGAGCTGAGAAGTGTGGCCTCCCCAGAGCAGGCTGCAGCCTCCAAGCCTCCCTAGCCCAAGCGAATGCCAGTGTGCACCAGGCTGGCTGCTGGGGGCAGGTATTTGGAGGGGAGCAGCGTTTCCAGCCTTCTGAAAGTAGTTAATAGTAATGACCGCCATAACACTAACATGCTCTGCAATTCGCCCTGCCCAGCCATGCTCGGTTGCCAAGATTTCCTGTGCTTGCCTGACAAACGAAATCTCTGAGTGTGTATCTTTGGGTCCACCCTAGGGAGAAGTCGGGGTCGCCAGGCTACATGGCGACATCTGGACAGCTCCACCTTGCCCAGCCTCCTTGCCATGATCCTAATATATTGGTGTCCTCTGCTCAGAGGGGACTGTCATCATGGTGGGAACAGGCTGTGCCTCTCCAGGGACTCTACCCGAATTCCCAGGGCCTCATCTGTACACTGAAATTAACTGGCCTCCTGGTGGGCCCGAGGGTTTTCAGGACTGGGGGCTGATGACTCACCCCCTCCTTCCTCCTCCTGATCTCTATCTCTAGCTCTTATCACAGATTTTGAACAATTGTCTGTGAGGTTAATGATGCTTTCAGAGGGAAGCCCTCGTCCTCCTTGAGATTGTGTGGGGTCCAATCAGCCTGCTGAAATTGCTCCCACTTATTACCCATTCTTCTTCTTTAAAAAAAAAAAAAAAAAGCCCATCAAGTTAGCATTCTCTGTAGGTCTCAGACAGCTACCAGTGTTCCTGGCATATTTACCAAAGTACAAGAAATAATTACATTATTTACAGTTTCAGACTACATCAGGGTGGGGGGAGCTCCTGTTGGGGACGGCGGTGGGTGTCGATGATGTGTCCACGGCTGAGCAGGTCTTGTATCCGAGACCTGAAGCAATCATGCCACCATTTATCATCAAATTTAAACCTTTTAATAAAATTAAACAGCCTGAAAAATGCTCTTGCTGGTTATTAAAGTCAACCAAGGGAATTATGGTTCTAAAGAAAGGAAGCGGAATGTCCTCCAGAGAATGTGTGAAAGGGAATAAAACCAGTGGAGGTAAACCCCAGCTCTCTCAGTTCTGCTCTCATGTCACTGCCTGCCCTGCTGAAAACCCCCCAGGGGCTTCCACTGCACTCAGAATAAAAGCCTGACTTCTGGCTCACTGTTGCCTGCAAGGCTCAGCCACGCCTCCCCATGCCCTGGCCACACTGGCCTTCTTTCTGTTTCTTGGATCACAGGAGCTGTTGCTGCCTTGGGGCCTTTGCACAAGCCCTGACTTCTGCCTAGCGTCTCTTCCCCAGACCTTCAGAAGCTTAGCACTTTGTTTTCAATCAAGTCTCGGACCAGATGTCACCCCCTGAAGATGTCACCATGCGCATCCCAAAGAGCAGCCCCACTTCTTCCCCGGTCCTTCTGTCAATCCATTGCATCACAGGTGCATGTTCTTTGTCATGAAAACTGATCACTGTCAGAAATGACCTTATTTGCCTAGAATGTAAGCTCCAACGAAAACAACTCAGCTCTGACTCACTGCCTGCAATCTTTCCAGAAGGGTCCAGCGTGCCTGGTGCATGGTAGAAAGACCTTCAATGAATATGGCAGACTCAGCAAATGTTGGTCATCGCTGTGAAGCCTCACACTGAGACCTGTGAATGGGCCTCCTCCATCTACCAGATTCAGTGACCCCCGGGAGGCCCAGCTGAGTCAGTGAGAGGGCTGTGAGTCTCTGCGTCTTGCACGCGAGGACACTGAGGCACAGAGAGGAGAAGTGGCTGGGCTCCAGAGCCTGAGATCCAGGACTCTGTCTCACAGCCCGCGGGCTTGGGGTGTCCTCCTGACTCTTGGAGGGAATGGGATTCCTTGATTTTATTTGGGGAAGGCAATTTAGTGTTGCTTCGTGGGACATGGCGTGAGCCATCCCTAATGAAAAGGAGTGTGTTGAGCAGGACAGCAGCTTCCTGGATCCCCTCAGTTGGACTTAGTTGCTCTCTGCTCGCTGGGGCTTGTTAGTTTGGGGGCAGGTGATGCTGCTTGGAGCTACGAAGGCTGAAGAAAGGGCAACCATCCCTTTTCTCCCAGGCAGAGGGTCAGGGCTTCCAAGACTCTGGGCTGATAAAGGAAGGGGTCGTTTCAGAGGCTGAGGAGCTGAGACTCCCTGGCGACAGGGCCAGAGGCCCATGGGCACCAAGCCTTCCTTCCAGCCCTTTGCTCCTGCCCCTTAAGTCTCTGCCCTTCACACAAAACGCGAGAGCGCTCTCATCCACAGAGGGGGAGGAAAGCCCAGAGTCCTATTTCCAAATAAAATTAATGTTCTCCATTGCATGTTCAGTCACGCTGAAAGGTGAGGGGTGGGTGGGAAGCCCATGCAGTTGATAATTTCATTGTGCAACTCCCAGGAGAGCAAATGAGCTTTTTTCCCTTAATAAAAAGTTGAAATTGTATACAGCTCTCAGAGGTCCATTAACTAACAGATGCTGGTTATCATAAGAAGCTCTTTGCCTTTCACTAAGCGCATGTTTTTAATCTCCCAGCGGTGCTACCGGGCTGAGCAGCAGCGTGTGGCTTGGTGACGCAGGCCCGCCAGCACGTGGCCCTGATCTGTGCATCCTCTCCTGGGGCACAGGTGACTCAGGCATGAGGGGCTAGAGCTTTCTGACGCAGAATGGAGCACTGCATCAGGGCCTGGTCGGGGCTGATTCATACCCATTAGCATTGCAGACTGGAGCCAAGCAGGGAAGAGCTGTTCCCACTTCAAGAGGGGACTTGAACAGTAGCGTGCAGCCTCCAGTCTGCTCCTGATGCTTCTGAGAGACTGAAAGCCTGCTCCTTCTCACACACACAACCCCCCTTAAATGGATGTCAGCATGAACACAAATGACCTGTCGACATTCCCCAAAACCACCCTTCCAAGCTTCCAGGCAGACCCTCCTCCTGCCCACTTGGCACCTCCACCTTCCATTTCGGCCACAGTGGCCTCCTTGCTCTCCTGCAGTCCCATGGAACCTGGTGCCTCTCAAGGTCTTGGCTCCAGCTCTCCCTCGCCTGGAAGGCTCTGCCCACCTCACCCCTGACTACCCCAAAGATAGCGTCCACCACAGCACAGTCACTTCATCACAGCATTTGTCAGTAGCCAAAATCTGAAAAAATTCCTGGTTGTTGGTTTTCACCTATTGTTAGCCTCTCTCCTCTAGCATGAGCTCTGTGCCAGCAGGGTCCTTGTCTGTCTCGTTCTCCGTGGATCCCCAGTGTTAGAATGGTGCCGGGCACATAGTAGGAGGTAAATAAATACCAGTTAAAAGAATACATGTTCCAAGACCTGGTTGGAGACTGAATTCAAGCAGCAGGGTGACACCCACACACTATACTGGCTTGGAATTTTGATGTTGCTGACTTTTTTTCTAATCAGCTGGGCAGAGCAGAACCAAGGCCTGTGAACTTGAGGACATCTGTTTTCTACTAGCCAGTATATTTCTAGAATAGCATTAAAGACCACTGTTATCCCCGAATAGGAGGCCACAGGGCCTGGTGAGAGGTGCCTTGAGACTCCATCTCAAGCTTCTCATCTCCCAAAGGCCAGGGAGACTGGGAGAGCCTCAGCCTCACACAGGTACCCAAGACTTTCCTTTCTTAGTTTTGGAGCCTCTATCTCCCCACCCCCCACCCTGCCAGCTTCAGTTTCTTTATCAATAAAATGAGCTGAAACCTGATGGTTCCTGAAGCCAACCAGCCCCAACACCAGTTACAGGAAGACCCAAAATAGTAAGTGATTCAAATGGAATCAATAACGTATTTTGAGAGAAATGGCAAAAAAAAAAAAAAAAGAAAAGAAAAAAAGAAAAAGCTGGGCACGGTGGCTCATGCCTGTAATCTCATAACTTTGGGAGGTGAGGCGGGCAGATCACGAGGTCAGGAGATTGAGACTATCCTGGCTAACACGGTGAAACCCCGTCTCTACTAAAAATACAAAAAATTAGCCAGGCGTGGTGGC